ATTTTCTTTTGGTCGAATCAAATGCAAAGACTTATTCCGTTATCTCCTCGATCATAAATTAACTTTGCCGGAGATTCCAAAAGGTGACGGCCGGGTTTTCCACTGAATCACTTCCAATCATATTGACGGAATAGTGTTCTGAAGCCAGAACAACTCTACAGGCAATAGCTACCTGTTTAAAACACTGAATCCTTTGAGCGTAATTCACTGTTCAACGGCTCATTTGTGAGTCTATAGAGCTCCTGTAAATAGTAGAAAATCTGTTATAAAACTATAGCTCAAACGTTATGTCCACGAGAAACAAAATGGATGAATTGGGTTTGATTCATCATGCGGGAAAGGCGAAAATCTACACCTTACGGTCCGTTGCAGATATCGTGACAAAACAGAAAGTTGTTACATTTATACGCAAACTTTTCTATTTAATCTCTCCTTGTTGTGAGTTGTAAAAGGACATATCGAAGTTTGTTACGAGATCTTGTGTTTCAAATTAATGTATCTGTTAAAAATGTGCTGGTTTATTATGTCAGCTGAATTGAAGTATTATTGTATCGGATCAAAACTTGTCGTTTTCGGTATTATATTTTCAGAAAGCAACTTCTAAGATTACAAGCACATCTAAGAAAGCGAGAGAGAAAAACATAATACGTTGTAAAATCGTCGATACAGCTCCTCATATGCCACCGCGAGAAGCACAACACAGACATAAACCGGGAGATACCACTAATCAAAAAAAAAAAAAAAAATGAAACTGGGGGACAAATTAAGATTTGAGGATTACAAGCTTAGACCAGTGTGGGTGTGGTTCTTTCTCTTTCTGTAATTTCCAATAAATAGAGTTTAGTTATCTTTCGCTTGTTAGTTTTAATCAGTCAAAGGTCTCCAGTATTAACATTCCGTCCAGTGCTTAATCTTTTAAGAACTTTATATTAAAGTCTTCATCTTTCTATCTTTGTAAATAATTTATGAATGTACATCCAACTATTTCGGCGTATAGACGAAGAAGGTGACCTTGAAAATATGTTAGGGCGCCACTGTGTAGAGTAATGGAGAGCAAGCTAATCTGGTTGATCGTTAGTACTGAGTAGTTAGTTTAATCCGGTCTTGGCGCATCTTATGGTTTTGTGTGAAACTTATAAATAACTGTTTTGATAAACATCTTTGTGGGTTATTAATATTGTTAGTTGATTTTATTTTTCAAAATTACTTTCGAATTTTGTATAGGGCACACATTGAGGATTGAACCCATCCCCTTGGTACTCTTATTACCAGTCATTAACTCTTTAAAGCACAAAGTAAAATCCGGTATTGATTATAGGTTAAAAAAAGCGGTGTTAATTATAAGTTTAGAAAAATACCTTGTTAATTCCAAGGCTTCTAATTATAAAAATAAAACGGCAGGTAGTAATAGCATAATTAAGTATATACTATCGAGGTTTTTATTTGTATTTTATAAGGTTAGTCTGGAACAAGGCCACAAATGCGGGACACCAAGTGAGAATCGAAAATAAAATGATTTTTGAGAAGCTAGCTTGTTAAATCCTATTACACCACAAAGGTCGGCCAGTCATTCGGTTAGATTTCTTGTGGTGTTATCTTTCACCTCAATCCTTCCGTCATACGCTATCTGTACAACAGTTCGGTCAAATCAAAAATGAACTATTATATCTACGCTGGAGTTGACCGGTAATCGCTTTTTCAACCGTGATAGTGTTCAAAACCCGGTCACATTGTGGCCAATTATTTTCAACCCTGCAACCCTTTTTCTCACAAGCCTCTCACTCCTCTGTCGCTACTTTTATGCCAAATGTTCAGACAAACTACATTCTTTAGTTCCACTACTTCAGATTTGTTATATATTGTACCTATGAACACTAATGGGTATGTACCAATCCTCATAAATACGTTGGACACTATTGTAAGTGGGTAGCATTATGCTGTCTAAGTAGTTCACCACTAGCAGTGGTTTACCTATTTCATGTCGCTGGCGAGTATTGTATTTTGTTGATGTTATAAAGATTACCAATTCATTTCCAACCTTCGTTTTAGTTATTCCTCATTCAGTAACCTTTTCTAGGTTACAACAAACTCACAACTCCAAAGTGATTTATCCATGATCTTGATTATGACATTATTTTCTCTTTTCAGTTGCAAGTGATATCCACCTTAGCATTGCTGCTGTTGAAAGTCATCAAGTGATGTAGTTTCTATTATTTGGTACATTTCTTTGTTTGTGATTCTGTAGCGCCAAACTACAAAGTTTGAAGATGTGTGGACTTCACAAATATCCATGCGATTCACTCGCTCAAAGCCATATTAATCATTAGATCTTGTGGAATGGGGCTAATGAATCAGAGACGAAGAACTGTACCGAATAACAAGAAAGACATCACATGTAGGTATATGTATTTGTGATTTTATTAAATATATATATATATATATATATATATATATATATATATATATCTGTTACATCTGATCTGGTGTTTCTATTATGTATTTAGAAATTCTTGATAAAATACAAAAAATATCTTCAAACTGATTAGTCCTAACCTGTCATCTTGGCTTGAGTCACTTTCCCACCACTGTAACATAGCTTGTCTGTGTTTTAACTATAAATTCTTTTATGGCAATTGTTCCGATGAACTTTCCTCTATGGTTTCAAGACGATATGAATTTAAGCACAGTACTAGATTGGCCAAATTATTTCAACAACAAAAACAACCACAACAACTAAAAGGCACAGCACATGTAACTTGAAGAGAAAATAGTGATGTAAGCAAGACGTTGACCTTTCACACTACTTCAAATAAAAGGTTAGGAAGGAAACCTCCATCAATAATGGAAAGAGGTGTGCGGAACAACTCAAGACCACCGACTGAACATCGCCGACTGAACATCGCCGACTGAGCGCGGGGATAGTTCAGGACTGAGACAACTCAATACCAAGACAACTCAGCAGCAGAGAAACATAACTTTTTTTTTCATAACCGAATAAAAGTAATTTATTTAGAATTAAAAATTTAATTCTTGAATAGATTTAATTTTTTTAAAAATTAATTTCTTTACGATTCGCTAATTAAGGTTTTAACCCTTAATAAATTTCGTTTATAAAAAAAAGAAGTTTTTCTGGTGCTGAGTTGTCTCAGTCCTGAGTTGTCCAGGCGTTCAGTCGGCGGTGCTGAGTCGGTGGTTTTGAGTTGTCATTTCCCAGGAAAAAGTGATATCCGCTACTGGATTTGAGAAGCCTATTTTTCTGAAAAATTGTTTTAAAAAGAAAGATATAAATTTCAATCGACAGTACTACAAGCTGTTAGGCCAATGAATAACGAATAAAGAAACATCTAATATTACGATTACTGTTATTATTATTCACATAATCGTCAGCTTATTGTGAATAGAACTAACATTTTTAGCTTTTTTATGTAATATTATAGTTGTTTAATTTTAATGATACTTAACCTCTTAACATTAAGCCCCAATTTATTCAACTTTCGATTCAATCAATTACTGTTATCGAATGTGTGTGTAGCTTTGGGGCTTTTTTCGAACGTAGATTCTACATTCTCGGGTGGATGGAAGGTTCTCTTCTATTTTCTCTCTCGAGCGCATGTTTTGATATGTACTTGTCATGAAGTTTTTCCTACGCGTGTTCATACTAGTCGCAACTGAGGCAACCTGCTGTTTACATGTTAGAGGCAGCCATTGATATCAGCTGATGCACAGATCTATATCTGTTGTCAAGAAGGACAACCCGCGGGTACATCTGCTTTCTCTAAAGCCCCGGTGTCGCACTGGTTATACAGTCCAATTTGGAAACATCTGCTGTGCGTCATATACATCGCGTATATGAATATAAATAGAATAAAAATAAGAATGTATAATCGCTCCTTGCCGTGGTGAAGGGGCTGTCGTGCTCCAATAACTCTGAGAACGATATCGTCGGGAGTTCAAAACTCCTGGTTGGGCCATACTTAACGGCTATGTCAAAGACGAGGACCCAGACTAAGCGCAACCTACCCCAAAGACCACAACAGTGGAACAAGCAGATGACGATTGCAACAGATCTAAACAGTTGAACCAGAGGATGAGGAGGGCTACGCATAACGGATATACTAGAGAAGGCGCCACTAAATATCATAACAGTCAGAGGCATTCCGTTGCACTTACATAACTAGATTCTGCATGTTTCATGCGCCGCAGAGAAAGGTCATGAAATTAAGAGTGTGGGTCATTTCCTGGCAAGATGAGGTCCACCTTAAATAACTACACGCCATTGGTACTTTCGTCTACTCTGATTTTCTTTCACCTCCAACCAACTCTTGCAAAGCGAAACGTCGATAGAGAATGGATGACGGGAACAGGTTTTGGTGAAACTGGAAGGGTCTAGACAGGAACCTGCACGTTGGCGGCGAATTTAGTCATCAGCACTATCATCATAGAGAAAACGAACAGCAAAGAAAAAAATTAAATTCTTGGATACGAGATAAAGCTGACGCCGCCGCCGATGACGGTTTTTGGAGGGCGGGCAGTGTAACAGTTATCGGCACGGAATTAGATGTGTCGAATACCATGCCGACAACTTATCTTATTTGATTCCCGTTTATTTACTTCGAACTAAAGCTCCTTGAAAGGGCATAAATTCATCTTCCTATATTTATGGGTTAAAAAACACGTCAGACTGGGCTCTTTTGCCTTGAGGTGGTAATCTGTCTAGTAGAATTATTTGATTAATTGATTCATTATTCTACGACTTATCAACCGCTTGCAAGCTATTTAAAGCTAGAAAATATTCTTAGACTATAAGAACTTTTTTGGAGATAATAATTGTTTAGTGATACAAGTTTTATTAATTAACCCATATCTGGGGAGAAGAGGTGGATTTATATCTTTCGTAAGAGTATTTGCGACTGAGTATAACGAATCCGACGGGAACTGGAACTCGAAACTCCGATTAACAATTCCGAGCCATTATCCATTACAACACCCGCACATCCAAGCTTGCAGCACCTGGTATTCTCAAGCGGTCAACCATCTAGGTAATGACCAGGCTCGACGTTGCTTAACTGCGGTGATCGCACAGGAACTGGGGTTTCAATTTGATGTAGCTTTCGACTGTCGAGAAGGAAAACTCTCGAAACCAGCCTGAAGATGGATGCTCTCCGTCAGGTTATATTGGCCTAGACATGTCAATTCTCTTATCGCTGCAGTACGTGTGATGCCCCTTTCGACACTTGTAGGTTACGGGACTAGTTACGATATATTTCCTTACCGTTTTGTACTAATTTCTGCTAAATATGTCTTTATTAATTTCTAATGCGTATTTTTCTCTGAATGCAAAACGAATTGCAGTAGAGACATCAAAATGGAGAACAGAAATAAAATCGCAAACTGAAGCACCAATGTCCCTCTGGTGATTTACAAAATACCCACGTTTGCTGAATTGGGCGGCTAATAAAATATCGTGGATCTTGTCAAGCGGCGTTTAAATAAAGCAAATGATTGGTCCAATGCCTGTTCGAACTGTTCCCGAAGATTGATTCCGAGCGGGAGCAAGTATTAATTGCAACAGCTTTTAATCACAGCACTGTAAAGGTCGTCTCCTTTAACAAATCTTATCGATCTCCGGGTTGATTGATTGAGAAACTTGGCCATGTAGTCTATGATTGATCTTAATGCTCACATATAGGCGAAATAAAACAACCCAAGACAAATCTGTCAGTTGGTATCTTCCCGATAGTTTTCGACATCCACCAATAAATTCTACAGTAAGGTCTCTTCTTAATAAGGCATCAGTACAGAACTGTTGGATGGTCGATCATGGCTCTTCACAACATCCTATCCTTTGTAGCTCTTAGCAATTTTTGTCTTTTAATTATCTCTCTGCCACCCTTTTACACAAGCATATGAAATAGATGGTTCTTTCCTTTCCCTTGTCCCTATTGCTTGTTCGCTATAGAAAGTTTAACTACCTTTCAGATTATAAGTATAAGCATTCATTTTGTTCCCATTTAACTTGAAACATGCTTGTTACTTATATATTCAGTATTTTTCTATAGAGCCTAATTTATGTTACCTCAAGTAACTTCTTCATCTGTGTAGAGATTGTCCAACATTCATTGCCAATGAGGAGGACTAATATACGTGAAATTTTAGTACTCTTTTCTTTGTTTTTGAGGAAATTTTCCTATTTCTTAACATTTTGCTTAATTTTTGGAATGCATTTTTCACTCTTCGACATTGGGGATTTTAGCTTTTTTCAGTCAACTACAAATAATACTAATGTCCCTTCTGTTTCCAACCGTCAAAAAACGTGGATATCGTAATCTACTTTCAGTGGCAACTGTTAGAAACTTCTGTTCTCATTAGGCACCAAACAATTGTAGCTTTGTACTGGATTAAGACATCGTTGTAGTTGCTGGTTTGGGACACATGTAAAGAAAATATGTTTGCTTCTCACTGAGGATATGAATACTTGATGAACTTAGAATCGCGAACGTGTACATTGGTTTGTATTTTGGAAGAAGAAGAAATAGAAAGCAAGAAAGAAAGAGAGCGGAAAACGAGGGAAGAAAACAGTAAAATAACAGATAAAAACGAAAAGGGAAAAGAAGAAAGTGTCAAGAAAAAAAGGCGAAAAGCAAAAGATAAACGAAGCAGGATGAAAGCAGAAAGATTGGAAGAGGGAAAAAACTGAAAAACCGATGAAGAAAAAGAAAAATGAAAAAGATAAAAGGAAAAGTGAAAGAAAAAAACATACCAGAAAAAGAGGAAGAATCACAACAGTTAGCAATAAAGAACTAGAAGAAAGAAAGCGAGGGAAGATAATAAGAAAATAAGAGAAACGAAAAGAAATAAAAGGAAAGGACAAGAAAAAAGACCAAAAGAAAAAAGAAAAGAAAAAGGGCAACCAGAGAAGAACAGGAAGAAACAAGAAAAAGGAAAAATATCGAAGAAAAAGAAAATAACATCAAAGAAGAAGACGACGACAACGAAGAAGAAGAAGAAGAAGACGACGACAACGAAGAAGAAGAAGAAGAAGAAGAAGAAGAAGAAGAAGAAGAAGAAGTATGGGAGAAAATTTATACGTGATAAAAATATTAATAAAGGATAAATATGAAGAAAATAACACCAAAGAAGAAGACGACGACGACGACGACGACGACGACGAAGAAGAAGAAGAAGAAGAAGAAGAAGAAGAAGAAGAAGAAGAAGAAGAAGAAGAAGGAGAAAAATTTATACGTGAGAAAAATATTAATAAAGGATAAATATGAAGAAGTGAAGGAAAAGCGAACATGAATAAAAATTAATTTGGCAGAAAAACTCATCAGATGAAGTTGATTAAAAAGGCGAAAAACGAGGAAAAAGAATTTAGGGGAAAAGTCGAGAAAAAAGAGAATGTAAGATTGTAGAAAAATTGAAAAAAAAAGAAATAATATTTTCATGGATGCATTGGTTAGGTAGGTTTGTCTGTGTGTGCGCATGTTAATGCTAAAATACATGAACATCTGTTTTCAAATGAGTGTGTAATACTGAAAAATGCATTTTTTTGCACGCGAAAGCAAATCCGCGCGTGTTTTGGCGCGAAAAATGCCAATCGCTGACAGCGATCGTTAAGAATTATTCATGATATTTGCCTGGAATTGAATTAAAATGGCGTTATCAAAAAACGCAATTAAAAATAACTGTTTGGTTATGAGAGGAAGAAAACAAATTAGAACGGACAAAATTACAAAAATATTTTTTGAATAAATTGCTGTATTCAAAATATCGGAATAAAACTATAATAAAAGATCGCCCTTCAAAGAAAGAAAGAAAGATAGAAAGAAAGAAAAGAGAATAGAAAAGAAATGAAAATTATAAAGGATTAATTAAAGTTGAAGAAAAAGGCAGAGGGAAGAGGAAGGGAAATGTGACAGGAGGAGAAAAAAGAGAGAAGAAACAGAAAAGTAAAAGTAAAAAAATGATAACGAAATAAAAGTAGATATGGATTAGAAGAAAAGAGAAAAGGAAAGAGAAAAAAGAGAAACAAAATGAAGAGAAATAGAAAGGAGAGAAAGGAAGAGGAAAAAAGAAACAAAATGAAGAGAAATAGAAAGGAGAGAAAGGAAGAGAAAAAAGAGAAACAAAATGAAGAGAAATAGAAAGGAGAGAAAGGAAAAAGGAAAAAAAGAAACAAACTGAAGAGAAATAGAAAGGGGAGAAAGGAAGAAGGAAAAAGAAACAAAATGAAGAGAAATAGAAAAGGAGAAAGGAAAGGAAGAAAGAGAAACAAAAAAGAGAAATAGAAAAATGAAGAGAAATAGAAAGGAGAGAAAGGAAAAGGAAAAAAAAAGAAACAAAATGAAGAGAAATAGAAAGGGGAGAAAGGAAGAGGAAAAAAAACAAAAATGAAGAGAAATAGAAAAGGGAGAGAAGGGAAGAAGCAGGAAAAAGAAAGAAACAAAATGAAGAGAAATAGAAAGGAGAGAAAGGAAAAAGGAAAAAAGAAACAAACTGAAGAGAAATAGAAAGGGGAGAAAGGAAGAGGAAAAAAGTAACAAACTGAAGAGAAATAGAAAGGAGAGAAAGGAAGAGGAAAAAAGAGAAACAAAATGAAGAGAAATAGAAAGGAGAGAAAGGAAAAAGGAAAAAAAGAAACAAACTGGAGAGAAATAGAAAGGGGAGAAAGGAAGAGGAAAAAAGAAACAAAATGAAGAGAAATAGAAAGGAGAGAAAGGAAAGAGAAAAAAGAAACAAAATGAAGAGAAATAGAAAGGGGGAGAAAGGAAGAAAACAAAAAAAGAAACAAAATGAAGAGAAATAGAAAAGAGAAAGGAAAGGAAAAAAGAGGAAAAAGAAACAAAATGAAGAGAAATAGAAAGGGAGAAAGGAAGAGCAAAAAAGAAACAAAATGAAGAGAAGAAATAGAAAGGAGAAAGAAAGGAAGAGGAAAAAAAAGAGAAACAAAATGAAGAGAAATAGAAAAGGAGAGAAAGGAAATAGAAAAAAAAAAGAGGAAACAAAATGGAGAGAAATAGAAAGGGGAGAAAGGAAGAGGAAAAAAAAAAGAAACAAAATGAAGAGAAATAGAAAGGAGAGAAAGGAAAGAGGAAAAAAAAGAAACAAACTGGAGAGAAATAGAAAGGGGAAAGAAAGGGGAAAAGGAAAAAAAGAAACAAAATGAAGAGAAATAGAAAGGGGAGAAAGGAAGAGAAAAAAAAGAAACAAAATGAAGATAAATAGAAAGGAGAGAAACAAAAGAGGAGAAAAAGAGAAACAAAATGAAGAGAAAAAGAAATGAAGAGAAATAGAAAGGGGAAAAAGGAAAAGGAAAAAAAGAAACAAACTGAAGAGAAATAGAAAGGGGAGAAAGGAAGAAAAAAAGAAACAAAATGAAGAGAAATAGAAAGGGGGGAGGAAAGGAAAAAGAAACAAAATGAAAAAAAGAAAGGGAAAATGAAGAGAAAAAAAAGAAACAAAATGAAGAGAAATAGAAAAAGGGAAAAGGAAAAAAGAAACAAAATGAAGAGAAATAGAAAGGGGAAAAGGAAGAGGAAAAAGTAACAAAATGAAGAGAAATAGAAAGGAGAAAGGAAAAAAAAAAAAAAACAAAATGAAAAAGAAAGAAATAGAAAGGGGAGAAAGGAAGAGGAAAAAAAAAACAAAAGAAAATGAAGAGAAAAAGAAAGGAAAAAGAAACAAAAGAAGAGAAAGAGGAAAAAAAAGAAACAAAATGAAGAGAAATAGAAAGGGGAGAAAGGAAGAGGAAAAAAGAAACAAAATGAAGAGAAATAGAAAGGAGAGAAAGGAAGAGGAAAAAAAAAAAAATGAAGAAAATAGAAAGGAGAGAAACAAAAATGAAGAGAAATAGAAAAGGAAAGGAAGAGGAAAAAAGAAACAAAATGAAGAGAAATAGAAAAGGAGAGAAAGGAAGAGGAAAAAAGAAACAAAATGAAGAGAAATAGAAAGGAGAGAAAGGAAAAAAAAAAAAAAACAAAAAAAAGAAATAGAAACTGAAAGGAAGAGGAAAAAAAAAACAAAATGAAGAGAAATAGAAAGGGAGAAAGGAAAAAAAAAAAACAAACTGAAGAGAAATAGAAAGGAGAGAAAGGGAAGAGGAAAAGAAAAAAAAGAAAGAAAATGAAGAGAAAAAAAGAAAAAATGAAGAGAAAAAGGAAAAAGAAAAAAAAAGAAACAAACTGGAGAGAAATAGAAAGGGGAGAAAGGAAAGAAAAAAGAAACAAAATGAAGAGAAAAAAGGGGAGAAAGGAAGAGGAAAAATGAAACAAAATGAAGAGAAATAGAAAGGAGAGAAAGGAAAGAAAAAAAAGAAACAAAATGAAGAGAAATAGAAAGGGGAGAAAGGAAGAGGAAAAAAGAAACAAAAATGAAGAGAAATAGAAAGGAAAGAAAAAAAGAAACAAAATGAAGGAAAAAAAGAAAGAAAAGGAAGAAAAAAAGAGAAATGAAGAAAGAAAGGGGAGAAAGGAAGAGGAAAAAAAGAAACAAAATGAAGAGAAATAGAAAGGGGAGAAAAAGCAAGAAGGAAAAAAAAGAAAAAAATGAAGAGAAATAAAATGAAAGGAAGAGGAAAAAGAAACAAATGAAGAGAAATAGAAAGGGGAGAGAAAAGGAGGAAAAAAAGAAACAAAATGAAGAGAAATAGAAAGGGGAGAAAGGAAAAAGGAAAAAAGAAACAAAATGAAAGGAAAAAAAGGAAAAAAAGAAACAAAATGAAGAGAAATAGAAAGGAGAAAGGAAAAGAAAAAAAACAAAATGAAGAGAAATAGAAAACTGGAAAGAGGAAAAAAGAAACAAAATGAAGAGAAATAGAAAGGGGAGAAAGGAAAGAAAGAAAAAAGAAACAAAATGAAGAGAAATAGAAATGAGAAAGGAAAGGAAAAAGAAACAAAATGAAGAGAAATAGAAAAAAAGGAAGAGGAAAAAGAAAACAAAATGAAGAGAAATAGAAAGGAGAAAGGAAGAAAAAAAAGAAACAAAATGAAGAGAAATAGAAAGGAGAGAAAGGAAAAAGGAAAAAAGAAACAAAATGAAGAGAAATAGAAAGGGGAGAAAGGAAGAGGAAAAAAGAAACAAAATGAAGAGAAAAGAAAGGAGAAAGGAAGAGGAAAAAGAAACAAAATGAAGAGAAAAGAAAGGAGAGAAAAGGAAAAAAAAACAAAATGAAGAGAAATAGAAAGGGGAGAAAGGAAGAGGATGAAAAAAAAGAAACAAAATGAAGAGAAATAGAAAGGAGAGAAAGGAAAGAGGAAAAAAAAAACAAAAAAGAGAAAAACAAAAGGAAAAAGGAAAAGAGAAACAAAATGAAGAGAAATAGAAAGAAGAAAAGGAAAAAAAAAAGAAACAAAATGAAGAGAAATAGAAAGGGGAGAAAGGAAGAGGAAAAAAGAAACAAAATGAAGAGAAATAGAAAGGGAAAGAAAAAAAGAAACAAAATGAGAAAAAAAGAAAGGGGAAAAATGAAGAAACAAACTGAAGAAAAAAAAGAAAAGGGGAAAAAAAAACAAAGAGAAAAGGAAAAAAGAAAGAAGGAAAAAAGAAACAAAATGAAGAGAAATAGAAAGGGGAGAAAGGAAGAGGAAAAAAAGAAACAAAATGAAGAGAAATAGAAAGGGGAGAAAGGAAGAGAAAAAAAGAAACAAAATGAAGAGAAATAGAAAGGGGAGAAAGCAAGAAGGAAAAAAAGAAACAAAATGAAAGAAGAAATAGAAAGAAAAAACAAAAGAAGAGAAATAGAAAGGAGGAAAAAGAGAAAAAAACAAAATGAAGAGAAATAGAAAGGAGAAAGGAAAAGGAAAAAAAGAAACAAAATGAAGAGAAATAGAAAGGGAGAAAGAAAGGAAAAAAAAAAGAAAAAAAGAAGAGAAAAGAAAAGGGGAGAAAGGAAGAGGAAAACAAACTGAAGAGAAATAGAAAGGGGGAGAAAGGAAAAGGAAAAAGAAAAAAGAGAAATAGAAATGGAGAGAAAGGAAGAGAAAAAAGAAACAAAATGAAGAGAAATAGAAAAGGGAAAAGGAAAAAGGAAAGAAACAAAATGAAGAAAATAGAAAGGGGAGAAAGGAAAAAAAAAGAAACAAACTGAAGAGAAATAGAAAGGGAAAAGGAAAGGAAAAAAAAGAAACAAAATGAAAAGAAACAAAATGAAGAGAAAAAGAGAAACAAAGAAAGGAAAAAGGAAAAAAAAGAAACAAAATGAAGAGAAAGGAGAAAGGGGAGAAAGAGAAGAAAAAAAAGAAAAACAAAATGAAGAGAAATAGAAAGGAGAGAAAGGAAGAGGAAAAAGAAACAAAATGAAGAGAAATAGAAAGGGGAGAAAGGAAGAGGAAAAAAGAAACAAAATGAAGAGAAATAGAAAGGAGAGAAAGGAAGAGGAAAAAAAAGAAACAAAATGAAGAGAAATAGAAAGGGGAGAAAGGAAGAGGAAAAAAGAAACAAAATGAAGAGAAATAGAAAGGAGAGAAAGGAAGAGGAAAAAAGAGAAACAAAATGAAGAGAAATAGAAAGGAGAGAAAGGAAAGAGGAAAAAAGAAACAAAATGAAGAGAAATAGAAAGGAGAGAAAGGAAAGAGGAAAAAAGAAACAAAATGAAGAGAAATAGAAAGGAAAGAAAGGAAAAAGGAAAAAAAGAAACAAACTGGAGAGAAATAGAAAGGGGAGAAAGGAAGAGGAAAAAAGAAACAAAATGAAGAGAAATAGAAATGAGAGAAAGGAAAGAGGAAAAAAAGAAACAAACTGGAGAGAAATAGAAAGGGGAGAAAGGAAGAGGAAAAAGAAACAAAATGAAGAGAAATAGAAAGGGGAGAAAGGAAGAGCAAAAAAGAAACAAAATGAAGAGAAATAGAAAGGGGAGAAAGCAAGAAGGAAAAAAAGAAACAAAATGAAGAGAAATAGAAAGGGGAGAAAGAAGAGGAAAAAAGAAACAAAATGAAGAGAAAAAGAGAAAAAGAAACAAAAGAGAAAGGAAAAGGAAAAAAAGAAACAAAATGAAGAGAAATAGAAAGGGGAGAAAGGAAGAGGAAAAAAGAAACAAAATGAAGAGAAATAGAAAGGGGAGAAAGGAAGAGAAAAAAAGAAACAAAATGAAGAGAAATAGAAAGGGGAGAAAGGAAAGAGGAAAAAAGAAACAAAATGAAGAGAAATAGAAAGGAGAGAAAGGAAAGAGGAAAAAAAGAAACAAAATGAAGAGAAATAGAAAGGTGAGAAAGGAAGAAGAAAAAAAGAAACAAAGAGAGATAAGAAAGAGTAGACAAACAAAAAAATAAAGAAATATCAAGAGAACGTAAAGAAGAAATATGTAGAGAAGAATGAAGCAGAGAAAAGTGGGAATGAAAAAGGAAGAAAAAAAATGAACAAAAATATGCACTAAATAGACGCAAAATTCTAACGAGTATATCTTTATACAGGAACAAAAATAGTGTTACTAATTGATATAGTCATTTCCTTTGGCGTATCTTAGTTTCGGCCCTGAAGCTATAATAAAGCTTAATACAAAAACACTAAGCAAAAAAAAAAAAAAAAAAAAAATTGATGACAAATATGGCGGGAGAAATGAGTGAATGTCCGTTGATAGTAAATATAAAAGAACGCAAGGCAATTGAAGGGTTTTATATTATACCTTCTGTCAGCTGGATTTTTATATGACGTAGTGATAAAATCGCAAATAAAAACGTCGAAAATGACGTGGCCGGAAAATAAAATTTTTATTGGGGCTAAAGTTCATTTATTGGGGTTTAAAGCTTATTTACAATCGTATATAAACGTACACAAGAAAACTTTATATGCCAAATAGTTTCCATTGACTTTACTGTGACAATTTGCATGTGCGGTTTCATTACTTGTTTATAAAGTTGTGTAAAATTCTCTGTATAGCACTGTTAGTTCTAAGTAAATTCTGCTTCTTTTCATGCGCTATGTCCCTTCAGGACGTAGGCGATCATGGCCCTCGACATTTTCCTATTCCTTATAGATCTTAATAAGTTTGTCTTTTTGTTATTTCTCCCATACCCTGCTCTACCATCAATTTCCTCAACTCTGTCATGTTACGCGCGCTTTCCCATTTCCCGCAATATCTCCAGTGAGTATCATATATTCCAAGCCCTCTTTCCTCATTACGTGTCCCAGAAATTTTATGTATACGTCTTCTTTTTGTTTCCTTTCTCTCTAGAACCTCGTCGTTGCTCACATGTTCGATCCATGGTATACTCAGAATTCTTCTGTAGAACCACATTTCTGTTGTGTTTCAAGTCTCTTCCTCATCTTTGAGGACATTGCCCAGCATTCGTTGTCATACAGGAGCACAGATATCACGTAACAGTTTAGTACGCTTTTCTTTGTTTTCAACGAAGTTTTCTATCTCTTAATACTTTGTTTAACTTTTTGAACGCATCTTTGACCATGCCAACACGTCTTCGGATCTCAGTGTCAACATTCCATCCTCTTTTTGAACACTTCCCAGATATTTAAATTCCTGTATCTGGTTGATTTTAATATCCTCGACCGGTAATTTGCTTTTTGGGCTTATCCTTTTGTTGATTCCAGTTCTTTTTTCACGCCTTAATAATAGAAGGATTTGAGAATGTGTGTGTAGTGTAAAATACATCGATACAGTAAGTGAAATCGACGAGCTGAGTTCAAATTCCGGCCAAGTTTTCTGAAACTTGTTTGAAGAGAAAGATTTTATAAATTTCAACCGACAGTAACGCAGTTTTGCCAATGAAGGCTTAATGTTTTCTTATAAGGAAACGGCTAATATCACAAACAGTAGATAAGTTTGTTTATTTGGAATCCACCATAACATCGACCCTATCTGGATGAGGAATTGACAAGCAGAATGGGAAATGCCACAGCTGCATTCTAGAAACTTATGCAAAGACTATGGGAAAGTGATGAACTTAAGATAAAAACCAAGATTCTAATTTACCAAACATGCGTCCTCTCAACACTACGGGAATGAGACTTAAACCTTGTATGCTGGTCGGGAGAAGTTAAATAGTTGTC